AACACGTCCTAATTTTGCATGGAGCTGTGAACCACCTCTTCAATAGAGGGGTCCTTGCCCTTCACAACTGTCAGTTCACCAACATCGGTTCAAAGAAAGTTGATGAGACACCGCATGTAGAAACCGGTCCACAGATAGTTTTTCTTACGTTGAATCAATGCTGCTGAAGTTATCAGAAATTATTAAAAATTTATTTCCCCCCAAGTAAAAAAAGCCTATCGAGCCGTGACGCTCTTTTTCAAGGGCGATGCAGCCGGAAGACATCAAAGCATACCACAATTACAGGTTTATAAAAGAAACTTAACGAGTGCAATTATGTTGTAAAATCACACACTTAACCTTCCGTGAATTTAATAGTTAAATTGAGGACAGAGACGGCAGAATGGAGATGCAGCCAAGAGACAAAGCTAGATATTTCCAAAACTTTTGGGGCAGCTACATTCAATGCTTTTGAGCATTCCCAGAAGGCCACGGGGGGCTCATGGGTTGCGCGCAGAAACAGATGAAGAAGAGAGACACGTTGCCCGCGTATCTAGCTTGTCATGAACACAACAAATGTGGTTTATCTGGCCGTGGAGTGCGACAGTTAGAACACTTGACCCACAAGTTCAAATCCTGGTCGAGGTTAACTCAACACCATCATCATCATCATCGTCAGCGTAGTCCTCTGTCTGCGGTGCCACTTCAAAGGAAGTGAACAACGTTTACCCTGCAAAGAGACCAGGGTCCCAGCCATAGAATCTGGAGCGTTTCCACGGCCGCATCAAAGTAACCATCGTAAGCGAGTGCCACCATCATCCATGGACTGGTGGTCAATAGATGTCTTGATATGGACTGGGCCACCCCCCCCCCACTAGGTAGACTCAGCCTTAAATGAGTAGCACCTTTGTTGTGTGACAATGTGGTTTACGAGCACCAGCACCGGTGATACAAAGGGCAGCAGGGCATTGTGTGTGATGCTAATTGCACCACTACCCCCCTCATAAATAGGTGCTCGCTGACAGCACTTGCTCCAACAGCGAATCTCTGTGGGTTTGTGTGTGCATCTTGACTATTTTACAAAATATACCCACACTGAGCTTGTGTACATACCGATTCAATGTGCGCATGTATTATGTATGTAAGTATCTATGTGTGTATATGAATGCGCGTTTATGTATTATTAAGGACCACCACTTCGGCAGGCATTATAGAGCATTATACACTTACACCGAGGTGCGTACAGTACAGTGGCTGGCCAGGGAGGGAAAGATGCTTGTTTCCCGTCAGAGGAACGTGGAATTTCCACCACTGGCCGAGGACCATCGTCTATAGAGCTGACCCACACTCGTTTTATGCGGAGAGAAGATCCTTGACCTTGATTTGAGATGATCGTCGAAGTTATCAACTTTCGACTGCATATTCCCTATTCGATGCCCCACGATGGATTGATGTGAATCAACCTTAAAGAATACCTACTTGTTAAGTTAACCTTCCAACCTGCTTTATTGAAGACAATTTGAGCGCGAGACGTGGGCGATGCCTGCGCTGCCCTCCGCTGCCCACATCAAAACCCCCGCAGCTGCCTATAGCACCTGTTATTACAGGGTCGTCACCCGTTCAAGCAATGCCCTGGCTTACCCGCCGATTATCTTCTTAAATCTGATGGAAATGGGGCCTATTCCAAGGAGATGTGATCAGAGGCTGTGTGTGTACACAACGTCTGTATCTCAATAGGATAGTTGACCATGAGGATGCTTGCTATGAATGTGGCACCACCAGGCGGGTGAAGGAATCTATTTTTTTCCTCTCCCAGAAAATCTGAGAGCTGGCGAGGTTCAAATATAGTAAATAAAATACAGTGAAGCGGTGGCTCACGGATCAGAGCACGGGGGGGGAGGCAGCACCACTGAGATCCTGGTTTGGAAACTTTGGTTTCAGCCACAAGTGGTTAATCCAGGGTTGTCATTAAAGTGATTTAACCGGATTTGCAAGTGTAGTAGAGTTGACGGTCTGAGCCGTTTCACGAATGAACTGAACACCAAAACAATACGTTTAAAAACGAGTTTTTTAAAGCCCACACTTTTATTTACACTGTAATGTATAACATAAATTATTTTGACCCCACAAATTAATAAAAAAAATGATGTGCTGAATAAAAGTGGGTGGTTTGCATAAAGAAAATTTCATTAATTTTTCGGGTGAAAATAATGAAATTTCTACTTGAGTGCAAATGAAAGTGCCTCCATTGAAAAACTTGTTTTGTACCTCTTTTTTTACCGTGAAGACCATTTTTAATACTTAACTGCTATTATATTTTACCAGGTCAAGTGCACTCGAGCTATTTAGTTCTTTATCAGAAGCGACCTGGCCGCAAATGAGAGGCCAACGAAGTGGCTTATCGCGTGGAAATTTATAGCAGCCAAATGCTCGAAGCACATGTTTCCAAATGTGGAGGGGAAAACCGGAGGGCCTGGAGAAAACCCCACGCGACCATGGGGAGAACATTGCAAACTCCAAATATACAGGCGCGAGGGTCAGCATCAAACCCACGATCTCCTGTATACAAGGCGAGGTAGTTAACATCTCGCCAAGCAGATCTGAGCTTGGGCAGTGCCGGAGATGGGTGTCTACCATGCACAAACAGGTTGTTATAGGAATGTGGGGCCACGTTGTGGTGATATCCAGTTGTACTGTACGTCTATGCTGCCCGTCTTTACCAATCTGCACTGACTAGCCGGGGTGAAGTATGGTCAAACGGCCTCCACAACCAGCAGGGCGTGGGGAGGCCCTCATCCAGCAGTGGATTGACAAAAGGTCTCTATGATCCTACGGGTACTGTGCAGAGCTCATCTCCACCAGTGGCAATTCCACATTCCCATGGCAGGGAGCACCTTTAACAACCACTGACGACTTCGCACAGAGTGGTACAAATTGTATGATCCTGTATAGATGACAATGATGGCTTGCCTATGTGAACCCTTGACCATACAATAAAAGCATGCGGATTGCTATACAACAGTCTACGTAATTAAAGTTTGATAACACGCAGCACGGCTATTACAATTGGAATAACGATCACCCCGATTGCAAAGTAGTGAAATTACATTTAGAACAACACGAAAACGAATAACGTGTTTAATTGTCGTATTTGCGATCATTAGGTACTGTACTGTATGAAGGACGGTAAGACACATTTAGACTGCAATGGTAGAACGATGCGTGCACATTTAGCACTTTAATTGAAGGCACTTATATCAACAATCATAATGAGGAAATTTAGGCTATTAAAATAGGGATAGGATCACGGCATTTAAATGTAAATCACGAACACGATTCTCACCTGCCCGTTCAAACTTGAGCATAACACCTGTTGCCCTCAGCGCGTCGGAACGGGCGCGACAAAACAAACGACATTTCTATTCATTAAGATTATAACTACGTAATTATTGTAGCAATAGCACTCGCAGTAATTATTAGAATTGTCGTAATTGTCGTAATTGTTGGTCTCGTGCAGAGAGGGAACCACAGCGGCTGCTCCGGCACCTTGACTAGGGCGGCCGATGTCGGCGCGGCCTCTCATTGGTCAGAGGCAACCCCAACAGGAGGCGCTCTGATTGGACGAGACGTTTAGCTGCGTGGCTGGGCGTGACCTTTCGTAATTTCAATAAGGCAGGGAAGGGGGTATAATGTACGATTGTTAATTATTAAAATTAATAATCTTAGGTTTTTTTTGGTAAAGTCACGTAGATAAAAAAAATTAAATAAATCAATTAAATCACGACGTTTTAGAGGCAACACAAGTCTCCGTCTTCAGATGGGACCGTCACAGCTAAATTTACTGTATCAAGTGACCTACGTGACTTTACCGAAAAAACCTAAGAGTATGAATCCTTGCAGTCACGAAAGCTTCAAATCTAGTATTAAAATTAAGTAAAAAATTCAGAATAAATGTTTTAGGGTTAGATTGCGTAAGTATAAATGTGTCGAAACCCTCCACCACCCCACCACCTTGTCGCACACGTTCCTCATAATTAATGGCAAAGTAAACTAAAACTAAATTTAGAAAAATTGGTGCGGAGTGTCGACGGTTCGAGCAGGAGGAGAGGGAACGCGATAGATGCTAGAAGGAGGCACGGGAGCAGCGACGTGAGTCTAAATACATAAAAATACCTTGCCAGGTAAGGCCCACTGAGCTGTATAGCTCTCTTTCAGAAGCGAACTGGCCACAAATGACAGCTCAACGAAGTGGCTTGTCATGTGGAAATTTATAGCAGCCAAATACTCGAAACGCACGTTGGTTCTAAATGTGGAGAGAAAAACCGGAGGACGCAGAGAAAAATCGATGCGACCACGGGGAGAGAGAGAGAGAGACATGCAAACTCCAATTATACAGGCGTCAGGGTCGGGATCGAACCGACGACGGCTACCTGCCGAGTAGCGCGCACGTTACACACAGTTGTACGTGGAGTACACAAACACACACTATTTTGTCCCACGGCTGACTGCATGGCCGCATCTGAGTGATTACAAAACATAATATCGCGAATTTTGCGTAGAAATAAAGTTTTGCTGCGTTTACACAAAATCTCACGGAGCAAAAGGTGAACCTGTAACAGTTCCCCCGCTTTCACGAGGCGATGCGTTCCTGGAAACCCCGTCGTAAACTCGACCCTATTTTCCCACAGACAGTATAAATAGTAGGAACATCACTTTTTGGTGTTTTCTTTTTCCCTTTTATCGGGCACATTTAGCAGGGCTTAACAGGTAAAAAATACACAAAACGACTTGTGGTTGACAAAAGATCCACGCCAAGCAAACATCGGAAACCAGACTGACTGGTCCGAGTCATGTCAGAAGCTGCGTCGCAAATCAAGTTGCTGAGTTGTACATCGATCCATCGGTGGCAAAATATAAACGTCGTAAACCGTAGACCACCTGCACATACATGCATAAACGCAATCGGAGTAACGTTGGCCTTGCCACGTTTCACGCGATGGTGCACGGGGCCAAACGTTCACCTCGATTTCGTGCGGCTGCGACGTCGAGGACGGTGTCGTCGTCGTTTGAACGTCGCGCAGCTTGAAGCACGGAGATTCCCGGGAGCAGCGTGGACGGACGACGTGGGGGCTGCGGGGGGCGGCGGCGGCGAAGTGGTGACAGGGGGGGAGGAAGGCTTCGTCGGGGCGAGCTGTGAGAACGTGGGAATAAATAATTAAAATTAATAATCGCGCCGACGACCGCGCTTTCTCTGCGCGGACCTGTAATGGCACAAAAAGTAACAGAGTCATAATGAGCCAACGTGCAAACGAAAACCGTCCAAGCCAGTCCAATGTCTGAGCCTCAAGTGGGCGAATATTGATCTTTAGATTTTTTTGCGGGGGTTGGGGGGGGGTTTAAACCAGATTTCTGTTTCCTTTTCCCGACTTCCCGCAGCCCTGCTGGTTGTAGACGTTGGTCAATGCCCCATGGTCACTATTATAACTTTGGCGAATGTAATTTTACAAGGGAACAGTTTGTTGACCTTTATGTAACCGAATGTTCTTTATTTAAACCAGACGGGGGTCCGATCGAGCTTAAAAAATGTCTATTTTGGTAATTTGAGGACAGAGTGGCTTTAGCTATCTATCGACACATTTTATGTATACATAAACTCATCCTTATTAAGTTGTGGATACGTTGTTTTATGTAATTTTATGGAACACAAATTGACCACCTCTTTTAGCAAAAGAGGATGATGGTGATGATGCTGCTGCTGATGCGAATTCCACTAAATAGGTGAAGTTTCTGTTGCCACTTCTGCTGCGGATGAGACTGCGGATGGTAATGCTGCTGCTGATATGATAACAATGCGTCTGCTACTACAACTGCTGCTTGTGCTGCTACTACCACTGCTGTTGTCTGTGACCCCGGCAATGACTTAAACTCATGACCTCACAAAAGGAAACCTTGCTTCATTCTTCACCACCATCACCATTATCACCATCAACCGATTGGCACGGTTGGCTACGTACGGTGCGAAAGAAGTTCAACATACATACAGTGGAAGCCAGATTCCTTCCTGAAGGAGCAATGTGATTGTTCCACCACACGGCCGTAAGCAATGTGAGAGGCGCAGCGCTGCCGCCACGAAAGTAAAAGTGCCATGCCACAGATTGCATCCTCGAAGCTAGCGTCCAAAACGATGAAATGCCCCCCTCAGCAAATTTGCAATTTATTGAGGACAAACGTTCCCCCCTGCTTTTTTTTTGCGTATTACGCAAATGCAGCTGATTTTGTGTCAATCGGATGAAACCTTGTGCAGGCGGTTGGGGGTGAGTGTGTGTGTATTACATTATGCGTATGTGAGTTTGAGAGTGTACGTGTGTGTGTGATGGTACACAAGTGTGTGTGTTACATTACGCGTGTGTGAGTTTCAGTGTCCGTGTGTGTGTGAGGGTACACAATTGTGCGTGTGGGTGTTTGTTCAAGAGTTAATGTTTTCACGTGTTTCGAAGTGTGTGAGTGGGCAGCAGTGGCACAGTCGGTTAGCACATTGCAGTATGAACCCGGCAGACATCCGATTTAGGTTCCCTGCTTACAACCAATGACAATGACAGCGAGTATTTGAACATGTCCTTGGTCTCCCCTAGTCGACTCAGCCTTAAACGAGTACCTGGTGCACTGTGTAAACATCGCCACTATGGAGACAAAGGCGGCCGGGCGTGGTGCTGGCCACGCCCGGTGCTCGCTAACATCACTTGCCCCAAAAGTCTGTTACGGCTCTACGAGTGGGATCTTCGTTTTTGGTTTGTGGTGTGAACACTGCTTCACCAACTGTGCACCATGTGGACCCAGGTTCCAATCCCGTCCATGCCTGCACATCACCACCACCGCCACCACCACACGAGCACAGTTTACTAATCTCACAGTCCCCATCTCTCCTTTGGTGAAGCAGGCACCGAGCCTGCTCTCCCCTAGGGTGACTCAGCCTTAACGAGAACCTAAACGCAACACACGCTCGTCAAAAAAAAAACCCACCGCCCTAATAAGCAAAAAGATACGGAATATTCGACGTTTCGGGCGATGTTATGAGGGAGGACCATTCCCCCGAAACGTCTAATATTAGATATTTATTTTGTGTGTGTTGAGTTTGGGTACTTTGTGTGCTTGTGTAACCGCTGCCAACGCAGCAGCAGCATCAGAAATAAATGTTGAACTTAAATCCATTTCATCGCGCCAAACATCAGTCCTGGAGAGACAAAGGTGGTTGGGCATAAGCCTTTGCCACACCGTGTGTGTGTGTCTTTTTGACCTTAATAGCTGCTCGCTAACACCACTTGCTCCGTGGGTCGATGTGGGTGAAGATGACATATTTCTGTGTGTGAGAGCAGAGTGTGTGAGAGTGTGCGTGTGTGTGTGTGAGAGAGAGGGAGAGAGTGTATGTGTGAATGTGTCACATTTTTTTTCAGGATTTCATAATAAAAAATAAAAAATAAAAACCGAAAAATAATTAAACGGAAAGCTCATAAAATCATGAAAAGTGATAAAAACGTCAAAGCGTGAAAAACGCGCACGTGAGCTCATAAACTCACACACACACATCAACACGTACACTCATACATACACATATACACACCAACGCACTCATACAAAGACACTAACACACAAAAAAGACAAAGATCCCACCGTATGGACTGAACATACTTTTGGGGCAAGTGCTGTTAGCGAGCATCTATGAAAGCCGACACGGGACACACGAGGTGGTCGGTGTTAGCAGAACCAATAATCCTTGGCCACCTTGGTTTCCCCACTACTAATGTGTTACACACCGCACCAGGTACTAATTTGAGGCTGAGTCGACCTTGGGGAGGCCAAGAGACTGGGTTCAGACATTCAGCACTGTTACTGGTCGCGAGTGAGAATCGAACTCGGGTAGCCGGGTTCACAGCGGAGTGCAACGTTCACTGCTATGCCACTGCTCCTCAATATACACTCAGATATATACACAAAAAGACAAAGATCCCCCGTATAGCCTTAACAGACTGTTGGGGCAAGTGCTGTTAGCGAGCACCTATGAAGGCCGGAACGACACACGAGGGGGTGGGTGGCCAGCACCACGCCCGACCGCCTTTGTCTCCCCATGGGTTACACGTGTCACGTACGATCTTATTGCGAGGCAGCGCGTGTCTTTCTATCACGGACGGACAAAACAAATAACGGAACTGAGCACACGGAGACACTGACAGACGGACAGACTCCTCGCACGTGGAGACAGTGAGAGGCAGAGGAACAACAATGAGAGACGTGAAAGGACATAAGAGTGAGAGAGACACACACAAGGACAGTCACAGGGACCGGAATATGCACGTGGAAAGACAGACGCGGAGACAGACGCACAGACAGACAGAGACAGACACAACGTGGAAAGAGACGAGAGACAACACAGAGGTGACCGAACAAGAGACACGGCGGCAGTAGAAAGAGCTGGAAAGACACAGGAACAGAGTGGGGAGGACAGAAACACGTGGAAAGCCAGACACGGAGACAGACATGGAGACATCGGGACCAGACAGACACACACAGGCAAAGCGTGTCACTGATAGACAGGGCGGCGCTGCGACATACACAGAAGGAAAGTGACAAGGACACGGGGAGACGGACATACGAGAATACAAAAATCAAAACATACAAAAACAAAGATCGTTCTTGACCCATCACCTTACCACCCCTCTCTAACCGTGACGTGTCCTGCACAAGCCCCACTTAGCATATTCAAGTTTAAATGACGGCACTAGCCAGCATACGCTCTCAAATTCACGTCTTCCTCTGTCCGCATCGCGCGCTTTCAGATGCGATTCTGCGGCCGTCTGGAACGCTCTCTTCCTTCCGATATCCGGGAAACCACTGGGAACTAGGCACTTTTAAATCAAGACTGGAAACGAATTTCTTTCGAACCGACGTTTGCGTTTAGTTTGTTGCCCTTGGGTTGGCTACGTATGGCGCGAATGAAATTTACATGCGTCTCAGCGTCTCTCAGCCAATGTCATTTCAAGAGAGCACGCCATTAAAGCATGGCCTCTTTGCGCACTTTTTCAGACTTTTTGATCCGTTGTTTTCGTTCAGGGGCCGTTGTGTCTGTTTGCCCATAGTCACATAGTCACTTTAAGATGTTTTCTTGGTCATGTTTTTGTTTTTTACACGCAGTTATTTAACTCACTCTGTCTGTTGTTGTTGTTGTCGTATCCTCAAATCTTGTAACTCAATTTTAACCCACTTCCCAATGTGGCATCGACTGCAAACTTGGTATACTTAGGTCATACTGATGACAGCACTATATTCTATCATAAAAAATAAAAGAAAAAGTATTTTTAAACATTTTTTTTATATGTTATGTTTCGGCTTGGGTTTAATTGTCCACGCTCAACTCACGTTGGCTGTAAACCACCACGGCCCCCTTACGTTATGGCAAGCCTTGGGGCCACTTTCTGGAGTCGTGGAGTTCTGCCATTACTAGTAGGGTACATTTCATTAAAGCGTGTTTAAAAAAAAGTATTTTTAAATATTACTTATTGTTTGTTGCGGTTGCACCCGATTCAAGAGCCGAATGGCTCACAGGGCTCTACCAAATAAATAAAACTGAAACTGTCTGAACCATGCGTCACAGCAGGTGGTAGCGCACTCATACGTGCTTTTCTTCAGGCACGTATAGGCACACTGCTTTTCACGATCAGATTCTCAAAAACAACAAGCATTCGCGGTTATTTTTCTCAATCCACAAACGAGGAAGCACAATTCTCCTCCGTCCTGCGGCTGATGCAGAGCAACAGCTATCATCTTGCACTGGGGGTGGTTGAGCCGGGTAATTGCGCCGGGAGTAGCCGAGTGCGTCGCTGTGATAACGCCTCCTTCTCCTTCTGCGTTATTTGTGAATCGGCCATTGGGGTCGTTATGGTGTTCCAACGATTCTGTTCTGGGTGATCACAGTCGCATCCTGCCCGAGAATTATCGATTGAGATATCCACACGCGGAGCAATTGAAGCACGTTGGCCCGACTCCCTCCTCCTGGCTTCAACAACCCCGCACTGATTCGCGTGGTGAAGTATGGTCAAACAAAGCCCCCTCCACCATTCTATGTCCCAACACAACGTGGGTAGAGAGGCCTTCGTGACAAAGGGCTTGCACAACCACGTGTGAGTATAAAACAATGCG